TTGAAAATGAGGCACCATTTTATATAACAACCAACACCATTTTATGTAACATTACAAAATGGAAAAACTAAATTTCCTTCCAACCCAACCTTTTATATAAAAAAATAACTAAATATAAAGTATAAATAAATGTTTCATAGTTAAAGTAGCCTGCTCTCTAAATATATGTTATAAGCCATGTCATGTAATGTGTAGCTGGACATACTTTACGTTAAGTTACATTAATGGTTGGCTTGCTTCGTCTATGTATTGAGATTTGTGCTCAAACCCACGTTCAAATATAACAGCTATGCATGGACTGAAAGTTTTTCCTTTATAAGTGATGGTTCGTTTCGCTTATAAGTGTGGGCATATAAGTTCGCAATCCTCTTTTATACTTCTAAATATATGCTTCTATTTAAAATGTTCCTTCCGTCCTAACAGTGTTGACCAACGTCTCGCATTACAACTATCGTGTCATTAACAATTTATCAACATCAATAAATGAGCGGTTCGATTATTATTTCACCCTTAAACTACACGCATAATATTTGCGCGTGCATACCTTTGCACCCACATATTTCAGCACTGTCATAAATATTGAACCCATTGACATTTGTCCCTATTAACATTTCCACCCACGGTCATTTTAAGGACACCCATGAATATTTTTTCGATGAACATTTCAACATACAAACATTTGACTCATGGGCGTTTGGACAGAGAGACGGCCATGGAAATTTGCACCCACAGAATTTTTTATCCACTGACATTCGTATTCTACGTAGCCACGTACATTGGCATTCGCTAATTTTTGGTTTCAGAAAAAAATTTCTTTCTCCCCCAGGGTTAGATTTTTGGGCGCTCCCAAAGTATGTGCACCAAGATGGCGCACAATCTGAACCCTAACCTGGCACAACTACTATGTTCAGGTTGTGCGCCATCTTATTACACATACTTCTGAAGGTCCGATTTTTGTAACATTACGAACCTTTGTACCAGACTCCAGGATAAACGAACGAGTCTTCATATTCATTGCGACCGAATGTCCTTACCGTGTAACTGGGAATGGTTACTCATTGAAGCCAATTATTTGGAGTTGCATCTATCAACTCAGTTTATCAAGTGGGACCTGAAAGCGCGTGAAAAATATCTCGCTACACTGGACACCACCATGACGTAATATTGTGAACTAGGCACAAGTGTTGTTAACAATTTACTTGACGTTAAGCTTACCCTTTTAAGTATTCCTTTATTTTTCTACTTTCTATATTTCTACAAACACCGCTGCCGAGAAAATGTACAATTTCGGACTGTAGTACGTTTGCGCTAATGCTTTGATAAGAATGAGCATAACAAGGACTAATTTAGGTTAAGATAATCATTGTAAGGACTACCGAATTTATATTCTTCTGTAAAAAATGGACGTGGGTGTATATGAACGTATGCGAAAATATCAAAGAATGCATGTGTACACAGATACAAATGTCCGTGAGTGCAAACGTACATGGATAAAATAAATGTTCGTTGATGCAAATATTTTTGGGTGCAAATAAACGTGAGTGCCTGTGGTCTCAGAAGTATGCAGGTGCAAAAGCTCTGTGTGTAGTTTACAAATATACGGTTGTAAATGTACAGTACCTTAATTCAACATTCGTAGCGCTTGTATTGTATGACTTCTCTGTTTAATATGTCCACTGATATATGAGGGGTCGCGACCTGTCAATAAATATTCATATTTAAAAATAGTAGTTATCTTGTCAAAGGATGCAAACATAAGGCTAGATTATCTGATGTACATTCGGAAATACAGTATTACACTGTAACGTTTTTTTTTAATATTATCTGCCTGTGGGGACAGTGGCATTGTCATTTGGGAGTGTGCTCTTGCCTTGGCTGTTATATCAATGGTGATTAAATACTTTGTTTATAGCGACTTTCTTATACACAATACCTGTTGCATGCATTCTGTTCTCTATCTCAGTGGTTCCCAACCGCCGGTCCGCGGACCGCTGCCGGTCCGCGAAGCTTTTTTGCCGGTCCGCGAAAAATTTCGTTGTTTTTTTGTTTTTATGCCGTCTCAATCGCTTTACCGTAGACAAGGTTGCGTTGGCTCATTACGCAATTCTATTCCTCCGTCATATTGCGACGTCTTTCGCGACATGTCGCCGCCGTCTTACGCGACATCTTGGCGCCGATCATTCAAACTTTTCGCTTTTTCGGCTCCGATTCATCGCGAATGCGCTCCATCAAATCTCGCAAAATTAAGAAGCCTAAAAATCGGCTTGAGGGCTTTTTCTGTTCTGCGTGCTTTTCCTGATTAATATAACCATCTATAAAAAACGTGATGCATATCTCCATTTTTAAACCAGAAAACTGTCAAGAACAGTATAATATTATAGTAAGATATGAACTTGTTGCGACTCCACAGGTGGTCAAGACGCGCAAAAAAGCATGGGCCGCAGAGATCTTTTCCAGACACAGGAGGATTTTGAGCCTGTTGCCAAGTTATCGACGACTTTGTCATTGTAATGTAAATTCATTTCGTTTGAGGCGTCGATCAACTGCAGAGGGATTAATATGATGAACCAATGACATGTCATTGGATGAACCCAATGAAAAAGAAAAGGCTTGATTAAAATGGCGATCTTACTTTACAGTCCAGATTAAAAAAGAATTACTTATCACAGTTTTAGATGATAACGTATACCCATCGCCAAGTAATAGAGCAATAAAACTGTTGTCCGTCTTTTCAGCCATTTACTGCGTTATGTGAAAAAACATTTTCGCTAGAATTATCACTAGATTCAATTAAAACGAAGCAAAGAAATCGGCTGCACGCGGCTGCAGAGCTACGTGTTGCAAAAACTTCTTTGAGGCCTCGTTTGTAATCTTATATTGGAAACGAAACAGCAGCAAAATTCTCACAGGAGTTAATTGTGCATGTTTTTAATGTGAGATATTTTATGCGTGCCTTTCCTACGCACAATGAGTGCCCAGCACTGCATTTCATTACGCAAATATATGGTATTATTTTATCTTTATGCTTCACCCATTTTTAATTTTTGGTCGGCACAACATTATTTGATAGTTTTTCTCCGGGTGAAATGTTTTTAAGTGTGCTTTTTTGTCTAGAACCATATTGGGTGCCCGACATTGCATTATATTACGCAATTATATTATGTTATTCTTTTCTGTTCTGTTCCGGCCATTTTAATTTTTTGCCGGTCCGCGAGTACATTTAATCTAATTTTACCGGTCCGCCAGGGTAGAAAGGTTGGGAACCGCTGCTCTATCTGATATAAACATAAACAATTTGTTAGCGTTTGGGGCGATTTTCCTCGGAGAAACATTTGGTGCATTTGGCGTCGGATGATCTCTCATACAATGGCTACAAGGAATTACTGACCTATTGAAATATATTTCTGTTTCATATGAGAAATGAGCTAGTACTTTAGTTCAATAAGCGCAACTAATATATCAACACATAGAATTTATCAATTGTCTACAAAAAAAAATCATCTCAAATATTTTGGTATCATCAATTGACGTTTTATTGACAATGTTGAAATGTAAATATTTATAAACACCGCAGACACCATTTAAGTAAATAATGTGTTGGTCGTCGAAATTTAACTAAATTATCCTGTTACATTTTGTCAACATAGGTAGCACGCATGTTTTATCACCATTTTACAAATTTTCCATAGATCTGCTGCAATCGAATGAGAGGAATTATATTTTTACTAAACAAATTTCAAATGAACCACAAACTAAAATGACTGCCTAGTTATTCTGAAAGAGTTTTGGGAAATTACCCAAATTCCAATGCCGCTCTTTTAAAACCACTAGTTATCTTGCGAAAGGATGCAAACGTAATGCTAGGTTATCTGATGTACATTCGGGAATACAGTAATGAACTGAAAACTTTTTTCGATTGTATCTGCCTGTTGGAACAGTGACATTGTCATATTGGGAGTGTGCTCTTGCCCTGGCTGTTATATCAATGACCAGCCTAGGCACCCTCGTTTTACACGCAATTTGTGCGTTTTCTTTTTAAGAATGATGCCACTTGAAGTATCCAACAGTTACTGTTAACCACAGATTTTATAGCATATAGTTATAGCTTGTGAAATAACTCCGCACATGTATTTGCTTCAACTCTTCAGATATGGCAAACTCATATGGATTTATGCACTTAGCAGTTATCTTATCAAAATGTGTCGAGTATGCATGATGATCGTATTTCATGGTCACAATCTTGCGATTATTTCAAAACCTTTTATTTTTTTTTCAACACACATTACATTCGCATGAACGTCATTTTTGGAAATATCTCATCTATTCTAGACGACTTTTGTCACCATTTTACGGAGACGAATTAGCATTCTTTTTATCATGTTATTCAAAAAGTGATCGAAATACCAAAATTATTCTTGGTAGAACGTACACAATTGGTCTTATTTTTATTCATTGATATGATTAATTTAATTTATATAACAATTTGATGAATAGTTCAAAACTTCGTCTTTTAGAATTTAGCAGGTGTACATGTTCTACGTATAATTGTCTCAATTTATATTAATAAAATCGAACATAATAAAACATTCAACCTTGAAGGACTAATTATTCCTGTCACGCAGGTCAAAATGCAATGCTTATTATGAGAAATTTGTTATCTTTAAAGCAGTTCACAATTGAATTATGTGTGAGTGTATATCGATACTTGATCACTCATTTACTTCGTGGTATATAATGTCATTAACATATGCGGTCGAAAATACATTGGGGACATCTAAATTCTTATGTGTGTGCGCTTCTGAAAGATAATATATGAGTTCAGAATCGAAAATTAGCAATAGAGGAACCATGCTTAAAGCATGATTCAGTGGTGATCGACCAATTCAAATATACAGGCAATTTTAAATTACAGCAAATTGACGCATAAGTGGTGTTGTACTGCTGATATTTTAGTTTGTCCAATTTCTGAAAACTCACTGACGTTAGTAACACAAAATATATACAATATTTACAAATTTATTGGTGACAATATAATATAAAAAGTGCATAAAAAGTAAATAAGAATATTTCTCATTTTATCAGAAACCATCCTTTCTCTAGATTGCATTGACTAAGGTATTTTATAATATTAGAACCACACAACTAGAATACCCAGTAAGTGCTGTGAAGCATCATGCGCAAAACAGTGGAATAATCAGTAGTCAGTAAATTGTTACTACCTGTGTTTACGTAATCAATACATTATATTATGTTGATATAGGAATCATATAAGTCCTATATAATGTCTTATGCAGTGAAGTTGTTCACCGTGACAAAGCTAAATATTGAAGAAGCCAGAAGTCGACTAAGAAAGATATACAATAAGACATAAATTAACAATGAAATTGCTCCATGTCATTATAAAGATAATTGAGCACATATATCTAGGTGATACATTAAATTGCAAAAAACGTATAAAGTTTTTTGAAAATACAGTTAAGCAACATTATAGTAATATTTTTTGAATTCATGAAAAGTGCATTTCTGATCGACATTTTTCACATCGTGGTGGCAATTTCATTTCTTACTTTCATACATCATTCATTGTCTTTCAGGTAATATAATATATGATAAAAGTATATTCATATAATGTATTATATCTTAAAAGGATATAATCTTCTTGTGAAAACTATAGCTTCTAGTATTTCACAAAAATAGATTAAACTATGTTTGAATTCTTAGAAAATTGCATTCGTTGGTGGTCTTTTTACATATTGGTAACAAATGCAGTCCATATTGTTATTGTTCAGTGATTGTCTCTTCTTCAGCTTTTTTGTCAGTTCCATCATCTTCTGTTATTGGTTCTTCAGTTGGATTATCATCAGGTGTCTAAAATATTTAAAAAATATAATTAAAGTTTACTATTGAATAAGAGAAGACATTTGGAGAATACAAGAATTATTTTCCGGCATTGGGTGCTCGAGGTTGTTTGGGTGAAACGTGATGACCAAAACACGTCATCATTACATTTAACTAGATTTTGGTTTTTGGCGGATATTTATTGGTCAGGAAAAATCTTGAATCAACCAAATAAAACTAATTAAGCGTTGCTTACAACTTCAATTAAAATACTCAGCATCAGCATTAAAAGTAGCAAACCTTTTTTTAATAGGCACAAGTTTAAATAAAAATGAACTTATCTATGTAATTCACACAATCGATAACTATTAATAAATAATAAATAAACTCAAATAAGCCAATAGGTATCTAAATTAATTAAATTTTGCACTGAGATGAGTATTTTTAGGCCAAAATATTTCAGATTGTTTGAAGCGTGGTAAATAAAAGTATGTCTGAGATATGATTTGTGTTAGCGTAGATAAATAAATTTAGACAAATTGTTAGAGTAAAAGCATCGAAAATCGTTTTGTGGTAAAATTTGATGGTGCTCTGTCAAGTTTATTTTAAAATAGACGTGAGTACTCTATAGTAGTATATACAAGAGTACTTTACTATGAGTGTACGTATATTCCAAGCACAATATAGACAAACCTTTTGTATAGCTATTTCTTCAGTTGTTTGAACTTCCTCGTCTATTTGTATTTCTGTTGTGTCATTAATATTTTTTTCTTCCTTCATTAGGGCAAGTCCTCCGTCATCAAAATTTTCCGTGACCTCGTCGATGACGTCATTAACTCGTTCTTGAACTCCATCTTCTTCGATTGAAGATATTTGTCGAATTTTGTTACTTTTAGCGAGGAGCTCTTTGAAAACTGAAAAAAATCAACAAAAAGGTTTAATACTTGTTTCGTACTTTAATAGTTTCAACGCATTCACTTAAAATTTGGCAGTGACTTGAAAACGTGAGGAAATGTTTGTGTACATTGGAGGTACCTTTTAAAATGCATGTATTCAAATTATCCAATCTATCAATTTTATGCTATCAAACAAAATTTACCTTTTCCTGTTACATCAGCACTCATCTCTGTTGAACTCGTTTTTGTTTTAATTTTACAAGTGTATGTACCGGCATCGTCTTCAGTAGGATCCTGAGAAAATAAGACCGTCATAAAATGAAACATATATATGGATGGGCTGTCATAAGCCAAATCAGACGCTGTCGAAATAATGAATATCTGTAGTTGTTCGTTACAGAGAACAGTTCTTGGATGCTCAGAGATGATTTTTATCAAAGCAAACTTTTGATAATATTGATATAAATTTGCCAATGAAAAAAAATTAATATTAAAAAATTCATGAGATTTTCGAACACAATATTTCATTACAATTTTCAATAATTTGCATATTCCTATATAAAAATCACTCCAATTAAGTGATGCAATAATCAAACATAAAAAATCGCTGCAGTATTAATAATATTCAGAAAGTTGAATTAAAATAGAATCCAGAATTTAATACTTTATTCCTCCTGAGTTACCTTTATCAGTAATTTGACTTGGTTATCGGTAAGAGTCATATCAAATCTGTCCCCGATTATAACAACACTATTCTTCATCCATGTTATATTGGCTCCAGAATCCATTCCAGTTACCTTGGTTTCAAATGAAGTTTTATGATCAATATGAAATGGATGGAATAAGCAACAAATTAACAAGCCGATTCAACGGATATATATTTCATAGTGAATTCTCCAGATCCACGTATTGTTTATCTTTGTACAAATGTGGATTTGCACGAATGAATGGCATGGACCTTATAAAACAGTTGTTCATTCGAGTAGGAGATGTTAAAGCTTTGTAATTAACTATCTAATAAGGTAAACGACCGTAATAGTTTGAGATTTGACCAATTAATGCAGATGAAAACCTTATTAAAATAAATTATTATGTTACCGTCTTACAAACTCAAATATGCTTAGTATAAAACCGAAAGTGAAAATCCATCACACAAGCAACAATAACTTCTCACTGGGTGAGCCAAACAATAATGGGTTAAAACGGTGTATTAAAGTGATTTATTTGTTTTTTCAGTTATGTTGGGGTAAAGTAATCTTTATCAGTTCTGACTCATACAAATAAATGAATAATAACTTTGATAATATAAAATTGCTAATTGGTAAAATTAGTTAATCGGTCAAACGAATAGATACAAGGCGCTGGTAATTGATGATCCCTTTTACACTAGGCAAGGTCAGCAACAATCTACTTACTTCAGCTTGCAAAACTAAATGTGCATCTTGGTCTACATCGTATGTGATTCCGTCTGAAGTCACTAAATAGAGAAATATAAAGTTGTATATATCTATATATATAAAGCTAGCTATACAAACTATAGTACTCGTACATGGTATTGCCTGGAGATTTCGGACTTCAAAAAAGGAGTAGATTCTTTCCTGTCAGTTGCTAGTTGCCTTGTTGGTAGCGTTTGTAGAAAAACGTGTTAAAATAAAATTTAGAGGAGTAGTAATTGTAGGACTGTGGCTCTTAAATAATCTGCTGATATTTGCCTTCTATAGAGCGCATAACAAACACGACCATAACAACCCAGAACAGTTGTTTACGGTTCTACTCAAATAATGATTCAAACTTGTATTTTTGCAAGTCAAGCAGATGTCGACGTGAGATCGCTTCATTCAAGGTTTTCCAGTTTTCATTAATTCGAGCTAACGCACAAACGCTAAGATGAGTAAGTCAAACGTCATTGAAAACAAAATCTAACTACATTCAAGAAATCCATTGCTTATATAATATTCAATATTAATGAATCTTGATGAGAACTTACTTGCAACTCCTACAGCTTGTTTTGGTGTAGGCTTTGTCTTTACCTGTTAAAATAATAAATAAATTTTGTTTTTTTGCGTTTTATTTGGCCCTACATTACCTATAATAGCTTCAACTATAATTTAGGTAATTAAACTAACGTACATTATCTCATCAGTTTGGTAACAAGAAACCAAAATAGGTCCCATTTGTATGAGTTGTTATGATAGGGGGACATTAAAAAGCCCGATTGTTACCCGAAAATCGAAATATTAATTTTATGACTGCTCTTTTAGAAAAAATGCACCGTTAGAGCGGGATCGTAAAAGCCTATAATACTTATTCTGTCTCTTTTGATGATAAACATTAATATTGAAAATAAGATTTACAGGAGTTCCATTTTCGTTGGCTTTCTTTTCTCCTTCTTCACGTTTCTTTCTCAACTCTGCTCTCTTTTTCTTTCTTTCTTCTAAACGTTGTTGTTTTTCTCGTTCTTCGTCTTCCTTCAGTTTTATGGCATCCTTGTAGACATGATCGTATTCTGAATGGGAGACTTAAAAATGAATTCGGAGAACACAAAAACTTCAACGAAATAAAAGCAAAGATAATAAAAATGAATTGGAATTTGACTGTAATTTTTGCTAGTTTCTTAGATGGATACGCATGATGTTTATTTATTAATTAAGTTGCTCAGGTGAGCAGAGCTTTTTAGCTAATGGGTGGTAATTGATTTACAGGCGTGTATTATAAAGCAGTTTTTATCAAGTAAATCCAGATTAGTTTCCAATAAACAGAATAAGAGGGTTTGAGTAATATAAGACGAAAGATATCGAAGGGTACACAAAAAACGTAACTCTACTTAGAATATGGATAAACCTGGCGGTTTGTTTTAGTCGCATCGAAGTATTAAAACTAGCAATTACCATTCATTCCTGTGTGGGTAAGTAATATTTAACTAACCTCCATCGCCAAAGTTGAAGTTTACTTTGGTATCAAATGTTGAATGAATAGTGATGAATTCGCAAGTGTAGGTTCCGTGTGAATAATCTGGCGTTGGATGATTGAAAACAAGAGATACAAGTCCCGATTCTCGATCAATGACACACTAGATAACGAAAAAAGACGAGGTCAGTGAAAAGACGTTCTTGTTTTAAATGCCTTTAACCCAAAATTTTGTGGAATGCAGCCGCCGATTGCTCCGACCTTGGTACTTTTGTAAAGTGACATGATCATGATATTTTAGAAATAGCAAAGTTCGTTATTTATGTCAATTACTAAATGGATCCCAAAGTTCAAATTTACTTCCATATAGGATTTACCGCATCGATTAACCGAAAAAACAACAATAGAACAATCAATGATACTTACAGAATATTGTTTTTCCTTAGTGTCAATTTCTACATCATCCTTGTACCAAAATATTTTGACATCATCGCGAAGTTTTGCAACTAAACAATATAATCGAATGCTTCCAGGAAGTGCTTCCGATCGCAGGCCTTGCAAAAAGTTGATTGCTGTAACAAAAATATAAGAACTGGGTTACAAGGAAATTGTATGTTGTACATAAAGGCAAGAGACTAGGATTGATAAAAAGTAATTATCGGAAAGAATTTTGGGGACTTTTTTCTATGAACAGACATTGCACAATATGCAACACACAACAATAGCAGACGAAACATGATGTATTTGAAATTCTTCTTAAAATATGATTTAGTGCTGTTTAGTCAATCAGTTCACATTTTTGTGATATTCTCATTTCATGTCATCCAAACAAATTGTTTCTTTCAATTCAAACGAACGTTATTGCGATGAGTTCAATGCTAAATTTGGAAGTATGCAAGTTGTATAAACTTCATATACTTTTGAGTCAGAGAGTGAAAGGTTTCAATTCTTCTGCTCAGCACCTTATTCGTGGCATAAAAATGTAATAGTATATTAGATATTATTATTGGTATTAAAATTTGATATACAATCCAAATTTTTGAAGTCAATCGGGTCAACTCTTCTACACATATTTCAGACATGATGGGACGTTAAGTTGTACGTGAATGATGAAAACATGTTATTGCGCCAAATATTCGTTTTAAATATAAAACTATTCTAAATGTCATACCTGCATCTTCTGCCTGCAGTACTGGTGCCTTAGGAGGGGGAGGTGGTGGTCTCTCAACATCTATTTCACATCTTGTTTCATCTCCTCCACATTTGCAAATGATTTCACCACTGTCTTCGTAGTTTAGGTTAAGAATCTAAATAAATAGAAAGGTTTAGGATGCGACCTGAGTAACATGATGTGTATTAATTTATAAGTGGACCTTCATCGTAATCAACACAACTATCGAAGATAATAAAAAAATTGATAGCAACGTTATCGCTTCGAATTTTCACTCTTAGTAAAGATTACAACAGCCATATATAAATGACAATATATATAATAAATAAATGGGATAATTTATCATATGGCGAATATGTACAAACAATCAAAAAAGATAGTGACACAATATCTTTTGGCGTGAATGGAAACAATAAAAAAGTGTTCGAGACTAGTGGCATGGTTAGTTGTATAGTTATATAAACAGTTACTATATGTAGTTCCAGATCACGTGAACAGAGTCAGAATTGGAAGTTTCTTTTTATACTTCTGTCGATAAGATAGGATTTCCATTTTTATCCCGGGGAGAGGAAATCCGCTAGGAAGGCTTGATCATATGGCGAACCACAACCTCTGGTCCGGTTAACAGTCCATGTCGGGTATGTGATTAGTTAGCCAGTTATTTGTTTTCAGGTGCATGGACTTGATGGTGACCAGCGTTACGTGGCCGACCAGCGCTTACGTGAACCACTCTATGGTGGCGAGGAGTACAGCAATCCCCTGCACATAATTAACCCCGAATGGGATTCGAAACTGTGAACCCACGCAGGGTAATCAGAGGTTTGTTGACGAGCGTATTCCTAACTCATATCACGATGCGTCACACCTCCGAGCCAAAGAAGGCGGCCAGCATAAGATGATTATTTAGGCCTGAAGTATAAAACTACCAATTAAAAATATAACTTTGAATTGGATTGCGCGAGCCTAATTCCCTATCCTTCCTCTATGCCTTTATGTTTGTGGATTCGTATGCGTATACTGCAAAGATGTCGTAGCTGGAATAAACATGATTATACTGTCCAATTCAAGAGTCCTGCTGCACACTAACACAAATGTATTTCTGTAACGTTTCGTCTGACCAAAATCAGTAAACTGCTTATCTGAGGAAGTCTAACTTTGGTCGGATGAAACGTTACAGAGATAAATTTGTGTTAGGGTGCAGCTGGACTCTTTAATTGAATGAATTACAAAATATGATGGTATTTTTTCATCTTACCTTAAGAATTCTTCTGTTGCCATCTTTTATTATCTCATACTTATCATCGCCTTCCTCCACGCGTTCACCATTGTGATACCTGGTAATAAAAAAAGAAATCTACATAAATAATATGATTCACTTTATGAAACTGCGCATTCACATTGCAAAATATAAGTAACTTTTATCTTGAATATGATGTTATATAAAAAAAAAATTAGTTAAGTTGAGTTTTATCTGGTAATGTGTTTGTTGTATTTTGATGACATATCCAAAAGTTTAAACATGCTTTAATAGTTTTATGAAAAAGTTTACTCAAAAAAAACGAGTTCAGAGCAATAAAAACACTTATGTTGAAAGCAAAGACTAATCCAGAATATATGTATATGGATTTATTGTTTGGACAATTATATCATTATAAATAGAATCACAGGTATTTAAAACCATTTATTTGTATACTATCAGAGTTTATTATAAGTCATCTTAAAAAATGCGGAGTTTTAGAATATATTGATCACGGGAAACAAGAGTAACTTGACTATTAACACATTCGTTGTTATTTAGTATAAAATTAACAAAAATAGGTACATGCTCCAATAGTTTTATAAAAAAAAAGTTTGCTTGAAGGTAAATTTGGAGAAAGTTACCAGCGATCACCATTGTACAAAATTTATCCCCATTATCAGTGGATACTAGTTGGCATAGGACGAAACAATCAAGTTAATACCGTCAGGGTAAAAGCTTTAAATACTAATGTTCCATCATACCAAGCACATTCTGGCTCTTTTCCATCTTTATACAAGGCAGATGGAAGTATAACACAGTCGAATTCAGCCTCCTCTTCTTCGTGACCGTAGTCTCCTCCGTGAACCGAATTAGTGAATTGAGCTGGAAGAACTGAAAATGGGTGGAATATAAAATAGAATACCCAACATGATAAAATAATTGGAGCATGTAGTCATAATAATTAAATTTCCTTTTACCACTCACATGCTCACATTTTGATTGTTGCAATTTAATTAATAATAACGATTTATATTGAGTGAAACGCACAGTGGCATTTTATGAGCACAGAGTCGAAAATAAATACAAATAAGATTAGTAATTAAAATGATGATATATATATTCAACATATATGAAAGAAATGTGGCTCAAATGACTAGGCCAATTCCCCAAAACGATAGAAATTAAAGAAATAGATTGTCAATGTTAATAACAGTAGTTTCAATACTCCAAATTGTTATTTTTTCAATTCGGTATTAAAACCTTTGGTGTATCTGCTCGATAACCAGCCGAGACTCCCCTTATCCCGATAAAACTGTGTAATTGTCATTACTTATCGATTTTAATCGGTAAGTATGTTGATAGGTATTTGTCTGTCTGTCTGTCTGTATGTATGTCTGTATGTATGTCTGTTTGTCTGTTTGTCTGTTAGATGCACGCGATATCTCACGAAAGCGAGATTGAATCTGCTGCAGATTTTGCATGTGCATTCATCTCCTTTCGAACCAGAAGCCTATTGATTTTGGGCGAATTATGTCGTATAATTAGCGAGGTATTAATTAATTAGTGATGGGACACAAGGTGTCACTATGGAGTAAGAGCGCTGTTTTGGGGATCCCCTTTCGATCGATAAGTCTTCGGTCTCTGACCGATATTCTCGTTTTCTCGTTATTTGTGTTTGATAGATATTTTCCCTTTCGATCGATAAGTCTCGTTTTCTCGTTTTTTGTGTTTGATAGATATTTCCCCTTTCGATCGATAAGTCTTCGGTCTCTGACCGATATTCTCGTTTTCTCGTTATTTGTGTTTGATAGATATTTTCATTGCTTGGAAAAAATAAACTTGACTTGAATTTGCCAAATGTTCATGCTCAAGAAAGAACAAACCTCCGTCAACAACCAAATGGGCGGTGAAACTACCACCAAATCCTGCAACTGTGTAGGATGCAACATCATTTACAGCACAATTCTTCAGAACAAGATTTCTCTTGTTTCCTTCGCTTATTATTTCGTATCTTTCATCTGATTCAGAAATTTCCACACCGTTCTTCAACCACGTCACCTAAATGATGAATTCAATGTAGTCAAGAACTACTTTGAACCAAAACTAGGTAAATTTATAATCACATACTGTCTTCGATATCAGTGTGCTGGATTTAGCTATTGGACGTTACAAAAAAATCTATCTGCTTTTATCTAAACGTATGATTGTAATTATTTGATCAAACAGTTCGATAGTAATTTTATTTTAATAAGATCTAACACTTTTGATATTAACAGTCAGGTATTTAAATCAATACTAATCATCTTTTCTACGTGCACACTTTTTCCTTACAAAAATGACAACAATATTCAAATCAATACTAATCATCTTTACTACGTGCACACTTTTTTCCTTACAGAAATGACAACAACCAAATAATTTTTGAAGGCAGCAATATCCCACTCACCTTGGCGTCATCTCGTGTTAGTGTGCATGAGAAAGAAGCAGTTTCTCCTCTATTGATGTAAATATCTTCCGGACATTCAACAAAGACAACCGGAACCACTGCAAAATGTATCTTCATTACAAAAAAGTTTGTGCAAGGACTCGAACAAAATAGTTTGATAAAGAATACAGACACAATAATTTATTGGTTATAAATAATTTGAATTTTTTAAAATTTCAAATAAAACCAGCAAAGCTCGCACACCCCGCTACATATTGATGAAAATTAGTTCAGAATGTCATTTGTTAATGAAAACAGTAATCAATAGCATTCACTTTAGGTTTGTTTATAAATACATTCTAGTTAACTATTCATAAAAATAAGTCTTTCAATTCCAACGCCAATATTTGTTCAAATTATACCTATTACAAAATGGCTTCGTAATTAGAGTGTTGGGTGCAAATAAGTTTGAGTTGAAGATCTGAAGTTGAGCCTTGTACCCGATACTTCGCATATAACGGGTGTAATAGGAAATTGGGTAACAGGAAAGATTTAGGATCATTGACAAAGGTACCTCCGTGCCTATATCAGTGACCGCTTATTCATAGTCATGAAAGTATTAAAAGCAGCATAAAAAAACATTAAGCTCTACTATTTCAAGGAACAAGAATTTCCATATAAAATAATATATTTATGTGTATTTAGAATAAACTAGTGCATGCAAGAAAACATTCAACCTTGTGATAATTCACTTACTTCCATCAACGATACAATAAGCAGATGTAGCGCAGTCATTATACAAAGCAACACAGTGCACAAGTTGTATGTCAGATATCTGACAATTATTTATCGCCAAAGATCGTTTGATTCCGACGTGAACTATGTCATATTTTCCTTCTGGTTCAACGATTACCTGGGTTTAAAAATGAAATTTGTAATATAAATTTTAAAAATCAGAAATTGTAATTTTATTATGTCTGATGAACTTTTTAATCGCTTTTTTGAAAGTGACATATTGGGTTAATCTATTTATAAGATTTTTCTTGAAACAGTTACAGAAAATAAAGTTTTATTTTATTCTTTATATTGTTTATATGCTATGTTTATTACTACGTCACCATTACCGGAACTCAACAACAATATTGACGCTGAATGAATGACACGAATATTGATCCCACAAAAACAAAGCACTTGCATTTTTTCTATTTATTCTCTCATATATTAGTCGTATAATGCTTCTCGTACGACAAAGCTAAATATCTGTATACGAATCTCAATAACATTGATTACCTCTTTGTTATTTCCAAGGCACCATTTTACTTGTGTATGCGGATCTTTGACGATGCATTCAAAGAATGCTCTTGTCCCGGAGTCAACTTTGTTTTCTTCAATGCCGCTTACAAACGCTGAATAATAGGAGATTGTCTTAAGTTATAAACAACGTGACTATTTTTTCTATTTATGTACAAATCACACAAGGCGAACAAGAACACAGTTAGACTTTCGCGTTGATAGAGCTAGGCCATGAATATTCTCATATGCGGTATTCGAAAGATAATTAATGAATGGATGAACGGAATAGGAGGTAGTGGGATATATACTCTTTATTATATTTAGTACAAAGTGTTTCGTTGCAATACATCCGCATTGCACTAACATATTCAGTGAAACAAGATGCAGCCGGTATTACAGATTCTTAATGGCAACAAATAGCATATCAACAGCGTGATGAATGACAAGTTTTTCTAGGAAATGTTTTATAAGCCTTATATATAACAAAGAAATCGACTTGCAATTCCTGGCACTCACGTATATTCGCGCGTCGTTGGTCGACAACGCGTTTTTGAAATCAACTGAATAGGATTTGAAACGAGCTTGATCATAATACCTATATTTATAAGTGCTACTATGGTTCGTGTAATGAGAAGAACTTTATTTACCTTGTCGTCTTTCTTCTTCCTCCAATGCACGTTTCTTCGCCAATTCTTCTTCCTGCTTTTTCCGTCTCATTTCTAACATTGCATTTTGACGAACAACAACTAATTCTGTAACAGTTACAAAATTGAATTCAAACAGATAAGGCAAAATAAAGTTCAACATCAAATTTGAAATAATTTCCAAATATTTAAAATGATAAAAACTGGTATAAACTACCAAAGCTTTCTTACTAGAATAGTCTTGGATTAAAATCAAACATAGAAAACTTATCTAATATTCGATTCCTGTGAACCATAAGGAAGAGTCAGACGAATATTAACGTTTTCCATTCAATCAAAGATTATAAATTAGAATCCAAAAAATTTGTTTGTCAAGTGTAATACATTAAATGAAATAGCATTTATAAGTAACCAACTGTAGGCTTACGGGCATAGGAAGATAAATAGGTAAAATCAGTCTGACTAGGGGGATAATAAGATAATATGATTTTGTGAACATCTTATTCTGGAACGAATTTTAAGAAATATTGCCTTTAAGTATTTCAGGACATATCTATAAATGTAGTCCTGGAAGTACCACATCTGCACAGCTCTATTGTATTAGAGGTAACCTACCCCAGTCTTCTCCAGGAGTTACGAAGCACGACATAAGCGATGGTTTTCCGGTTCCAACTTTGTTTACAGCGCTCACGCGGAAGAAATAAGTTTGTCCTGTGACTAATCCATCTACTTTGTACTTTTCATCTCTGATTTCCTCCGGCATTTTATTACAAGGGATCCAGATGTCGCTTCCTTCTTTGCATCTGTTCATAAGCATGTTGATCACAATTTGTAATTTTCTTCTTTTTAAATTGGTCATACCCTAATTGGTTAACTTAATTCAACTAGGTTTACAAAATGTATGATACAGGTAAAATACATAAATTAAAACCCTGGTTTGAAAATATCATTCTTGTCTGTGACTTTGTTTTTATGAGCCATTGCACACCTTCGCTCCATATACCTAATCAGTTACTGACAATTAAGGAGCTAGTTTGTACTATTTCGCTTCGGAATTGCGACACATCACTATTGTACACGAGTTTTGAACTATAAAAATACAATCTGCTGCGAAATACTATGTTCTCGACTTCAAAAAAAGCGGCTAAGTAACCGTAATTTACCTTTCAACGACATATCCAATCATTTCTGCGTCGCCCTTGCATTCTGGTGCTTTCCATTTCAACGAAACTGATTCCACGTCCATCGCCGTTATGAGGAGATTGCTAGGATAAGTGGGAGGCTCTGTGTAGATATTAAATTTTAGTCAGTGTTTCTGTACTCAAACAAACATAGTCACAAGGGAGGAAGAAAAAGTTCATGGTGATGGAAGTTACAGGCAACTAATGATGTTCGACAAGTAACAAACATTTACATTTAATAAATCTAAAGTTTTAACAAATAGTTTAATGATAACCTATTATATTGAATTATGTAAATCTTGACTGCACTTGTGATGATGGCAAGACTATTTGATCGCATTAAGTTGTACATCTTATATTTGTCCATATTAGTATACTCCATGCATTTTTGCTGGTACTGTCCTGGTCCTGTTGTGAAGTACTAAATGCCTCCGTAAACCAAGCCATATTATGGTCTAATATTATAACACACTACTTCCTAATGAAATAGATGTTCTAAAAGGACAGTTAATTAGAATGTACTCATATAAGTTGCGGATCTTTGCAAATTAATTGTTGCTTTTATTTTACGAAGTCGTACTGGGACTTATCGAAAAACCTTTCTCTAAATTTTATTTTGAAGTTGATCATGAACGGAATTCTCATAATGAATCACCTGGATCTTTCACCAATACACGTCCTGGAAGCATTTTCCAATCACCGCTTCCAGCAATATTGCACGCTCTAACTCTGAACTCGAATTCTTCTCCAGTGTTCAATCCATCCACAGTGAAATGCCTCTGATTCAAAGGCTTGTTGTTTACAGGACGGAATTTGCCACCAGCAGGGCGACTGATAAATGTCAAAATGATTAGAGTTTGTAGTTGTAAGATCCTTCTGAGCATGGATACGAGCATACATATGCATTGATTGAAAAATAGGGGAAATTTCGAATTGTCATATGCGAAAAAGATCGTCTTATAAGGTGACTCAGTAAATCAAAACAGAACCTCGGTTATTCAAAACATATTCTATAGAGAGAACATAACTTACGGGCAGAGCATTCTAAAATACAATCTTGAGGCCTGGGCTCACCCTTGTCTATTTTCGAATATGCATCATTTTGAAGCTTTATCAGTAGGAATTTGGATGCGCGTTGTTACTAAATTGTACTAGTTTTCGATTTTTGCCATACCGAAAATACACATTATACATTCAAGAAATAAAAAAAAATAAAAGAATGACATTTTAGATTAAAGGAAGACCGGAAAAACCAATACTAGTTTCAGAACAGAACAGAAATGAATACAACAATAGCAATTAAAAAGGCAAAACATACATGAATATGAAAAAGTGTAAAGCATGTATAGGCAATCTGATGAAACTAACAGTCGTTTTTGTCAATTTCGTTTCCAAGTTACCAAGACTTTTATTAACAATATCATAATTCAGAAATTTATATAGAAGATTATTACTAGATTCTTGTAGTGACTTACTATTCTAAAAAGTATCCGGTAACGGACGAACCACCATCAGTAGTTGGAGGATCCCAGCATATTTTAACGGAATTTTTAGTGACACATGGTCTTCCTTTCTCATCTGCAACTCTGATTAGTCCCTGAACTCCACCCCACCAATTTGGTGGATCTGAAAAAAAGTTAAACGTATTGAACCTTTAAAATAAATTAGAAGTTTCGTAATTGGATATCATCCTACAATATAAATATTCTATACAACGCTTTTAGTTATAATCTCTTAGGCAATATTTTATTTAACGTTCTTCTGTTGTGCATAGTGATGACATTTAATATATGTCATAATTGCAGGGTTTTAGTATCACGAATTTTCCTCTGAGACAAATACGGAATTGTTGCCGAAAAAGTTTTAAGAATGCTGTTGCCTTTCGATGAAAGATTGAAGCATTTGAACGTGTAAATGTCGGCAAATAATAAGCAGATCTTGTTGAACAGGGCTAACTTATATTTTGGCAAAAAACGAACCATCCCATGCAGAGATTTGTTTCGCGTCACAGTTTATTTGTGAAATATTTGATATCTTTGCTCAGGACAAGGATCTATAACCATTAAAGAAATAACGATTGAAATATTATGAAGCACTTCGATATTAGAACTTAATTTAATCTCAGAATAAAGCATACTTGCTTCGATGATGGACATAGTGTTTGTTCCTAAAATACATAACATGTAATATCAACATTGTCAGGCAATCGCATCTACGTCAAATATTATTAGAAAGCTGAAATGACTGGAAATATTGTTATAGAAAAGCAATGATGAATCAAAACTTACTTATTCCATCAGTTGCAATGATTGGTTCACTTTCTTCTGAGAAATGACTTGTTCCTCTTGAAGTGACAGCTCGCACTCGGAATACGTAAGATTGGTCGCTCTTCACGCCTGATACTGGATAATGTGTCAGACTGTAATAGAAGTTCGACATTACGGTTGACTCAACAGGACACTTTTTAATGAAACAAAAGCTTTAAAATATTCCGGATGCTCTAGTAACTCCCGTTCAACACTTTAATGCATGAATTGTATAAACTATAAATATATATAAAAGCAAACGTAATACTGGCAAAATAAAATGACCTTCAATGTGTAGCAAGTTTAATGATAGTAGCAAACCTAATAAGTATTTGATCATATCCAAGTAATATACATATAATAATACAGACTCTCGGATTGAATGAAAACGTGCGGAATCCAAGGAGAGATAAATAGATAAAAGACTTACAGACAATGAAAATGACGCTCACAAAATACCAATATAAAAAATGGCCTACGTGATTGGTGATTGATTACAAATCTTCCATCCCTCAGATCCAACCATCTTCATTTCAATGTAATACATCGGATCTTCTCCTGCTGTTTTGAATGGTGGGGTCCAACCAACAGTGATGTATTCTCGGGTTGCCTATGAAGTTGAATGTTAATATTAGTTTAAAGTTCCATATACAACGTTCTTTATACTTTTTATAATCATTTGTTGAAATTAAACAGCATGGTTTTGCTTATGGTAAAATTGTGCTCTTGCAATTCTGTGAAGTAGCCCCCAGAAGATTTTATTGATTTCAGTTTAGATATGGGTTCAGGTCGAAATCAATAATACTCGAAATCAATAATATTTGATCAAATTCGATAATTCGACAAAGAAATTACCGTAATTACTCAATGTCAAAGTAAACTATACTGGGACTACTGACCAAAATAAAGCAGAAGTTAAATGCGAACTACAACGAGTATTTCATAATTTAGGTAAAAATAAAGAAAATGGCATTTACAGTTAATCCTTTGACATCCACTGGAGCACTTGGAAGTTTACTTCTAACCACAGCGCTTTTTGGCTTCACCACAGCATCAGCCCCTCCATTTTCTTTGATAATGTCTGTACTGTTCTCAACCTCGCTCTGCTGTTTGACATCAGTTTTGCCATCATCATTTGGCATTGCAGCGCAGGCTCCTATTTCTTCTTGTGACTTCTTAGAGCAAAGGTCAAAAGTCAACCGAGGGAAGAGCCCAAATTTTTTATTTATTTTTGTGAGAATAGACAAATGTCATGTAAAGATTTTCACGAATCGGGGTAGCATTTCCACGTACAAATAACTAACCAAACAAACATGCGTTCAATAAAATTTGGTATCAAGTACTAAAATGATGCATAGCATTTTTAAGTTCTTGGCATTACAAGCAAAAGTGGATCGATGATGTATATCAAAGTGTTTTGTTATATGAATTCGTCAAATTGGATAATAAAGTGAATAAAAACATTTTGATGAATCTAAATTATTCCTTACATTACTACATTGTTCGGCATTTTCACAAGAATCTCTGCAATCTTCGGTTGGTTTTTTAATGTCTTCAATATCAGCAACACATGGTTCTGTGGTGAAAATAATAAGTGAGAGTATCACTAAGTGATTCAAAATTTACTGTATCATTGAGCATCTAAGTATGGTCTATCTATAGACTCTATATGTACAGAGTATTAAATATACAACAGTCTCAGAATTGCAAACTATTAGTAAACAAAATTGCCATAGACGTGTAATTGACATGCAAAAACGTCTTTGATATATAGGATTTTCAAACAATTTCGCCAGATTTTATATTAATAACAAATTAAAATTTCTTTTTTTTTGTTTATTGATAGGTCTTATTGTGTCTGTAGTTATCATTATTCATGCAAAAAATTTTATTGAAACTAACAGGTATTATTACTATAAAATCGGGAAAAGTTTATGGAATTAGCGCTACTTTGCCTTCGCATTAGATTAAGACAGGTAAAACGGAGCATGTGTTAGGTGAACAAATAAATGGTAAGGACACTCAAGGTACCGGTGCAGTGAGTTCAATAGTAACTATTAAAAACATGATGGGCCAAAGAACTGAGCACTGTGGAACGCCAAACTTATTAGAGTGTGCTAAGCAACACCAGTCGCCGGTAACGACGATGAACAACAGATTTTTAATTTTTTTTTTAATGTCAATGTCACGTGTCATATCAGTCAAATATATACACGCACATGTTAATCATAAAATCAATTCATATTCAACAATTTCAATCTGAAACATATGCCAACCTGTTGATGACTCTTGGGACGGATTTGCAATTTCAACGACAGTAGAGCATTCGCTGGGCTCGCTACAACCGACAGAATTTACGGAAAATACTCGGAATCTAAAGTGAAAAGAAGTAAACATTATTGGTGATATAGACTAAAGGAGTCATAGTAAAATAATAAAAAAGTGCAGCAAATATTAACAAATTTCAGATTGTGATTTTAAAGAAATTTATTGTACTTTTTTATGGTATTTCGTGGAATTCTGGAGCAGTGGTTCTCAATCTTTTCGTTCCCCTTTTTCTATTATGGGACTCTTTATTGCTTCCTTACTGTGCACAAGGACGACTTATTCGTTCAATCTTTGTAGGATTTTAATAGGTAGTGTTTTTACACAGTTTAGGTAGGATATATGTACATAAATATGTAATATAAAAAAAAAATAAAAAAAACGGAAGAAGATCAGTAATACTACACTAATAACTGAGCAAAATTCTCCCTCCTTTTTAAATAACACACAAATTTATTTCTAGAGGAAGAATTTTTCCTCAATAGGTTCAGAATGAATAAAAATCATTTTACTAAAGTTCAAATTTGTGCAAGATGGTGAGTTTAGATGACTTCAACTCACTTGTAACTTTTTCCTGGAGCAAGCCCTGTTACCGGATATGGGTCAGTGGTTTGCAATGGTTGGCTAGTCACAGTTTTCCATTCCTCACCCTCTGACTCGCTGCATTCAATCAGGTATCCTTCGACTAAAAAAAAATTAAAATTAACGAAAAAAGCTTCACTATATTTATTGGAAATTGGGGAAACTTGGGGACAATCATTGATTGATTAGCCATTATTCTATAATTAAAAGAATAGCAATAACTATAGAGACAAACTCAGAAAGGTCTAATCGTGAATATTGGGTTAAAATCGTCATTAAATCACTCCACCCGATATTATTAATGAGAGACAGCATGTGTTTTTCATGCATGTAAGCCTTGAACAGAAGTTCTAGCTATATTATCAAGATTTGCTGAATATTTTTATTTTCATTGTATTCCAATTTGCGAAATCCAAGCAGCATGATCATTTTTATAACTCTTGTTTTAATAAATATTCATATTTTCTAAAAATAAAACGACTCTTACCATCGCATTCTTCACCACACTCAGGCGCTGCCCATCCAATATTTACGACGTCTCCGACAGGAGATAAAGTAGCTGTAATTTTGGTTGGGATTCCTGAATAATAAAATTTGATATAAACATCGGCAGTTGCTTCAATATCAGAAAATATGAATTTATGTATAAGCATGTATAAATAGCTTTGAGATAACCAAAGACATGAAACCTCCGTTTTTGACAATAAATCAAATTTTAAATTTCAAAAAAGACAGGTGTATCAGTTGTTCAAAACTCTCTCTATATATATATAATAATGTATAAATAGCTTCGAAGGAATCAAAGATATGAAACCTCCGTTTTTGACAATAAATCAATTTTTAAACTTCAAAAAAAGACAGGTGTATCAGTTGTTCAAAGCTTTAGCGGTTGCTATTTAGGCACCCGATTATGAGTTGATTAACAAAGTGTTATTAATTGAATATTGGCAAATTATAAAAGTTTCCATTAATTTTAGCAATTTTGTCATAAAATGACTAAAAAATTTGCACGACTGAAGGGAAATCATTTTAGTGGCATTTACACTACACCAATAACACCACTGACATCTTCAAGGCATCACTGATCAGATTTATCGATTTGCCGATGCTGCGGTTCCACGATTTCTTGTTTTCACGTAAAATTGAAGTCAAGTCATAACATAATACTTATTTTTTCAATAGAATAAAGTAACTACTAACTGGTATAGTATAGTAACACCATCCGTGTTAGGTAATAACAAATTCGATTCAGAATCCTATTGTACACATACCTGGCAACTCATTTCCGTCCTCTTCTTCTACTGATATTTCGTCTGTTTCGGGAGGAAGAAGACTAGAAGGATCTTCAAATTCTTGATAGAAATAATTCTCGTTAAGATGAGTTTATTCTGTTCTGTAATACTCTTATTCATACAGGAATGATATGCTGCTTACACCGTCAATTATCGAAAGTGGGGCAACTCTTGAAAATCTCGACCATTTACAGGGAGACAAGCATGAAGTTTTTTGTCAAGTGTGATTTTAAAAAAACTAAGGTTATGAGATACCCGTTTTCTAATAGCTCGTTCAGTAACATTTTGACCTAAATTGCATCCAGTTTGGGTCAGTTGGTATTTACCAATGCGTATTTCAACGTGATTATTCTTTGTAACGTCAATAGTTCTTGGCACATCATTGGTTGCTCGAAATTTTGTAAAGAGTTCACCTGTTCATATGACTATGCTTTGAGCATATTTTCCTTCAATAATCTAGGCATCTCGTCAGTAAAAAACAAATAATAATTCTGATATCTTGCTATCAATTCTCATGTTTACCTTGTTGTAATCTTGGGGATCCGGCATCTCTAATAGCAACCGCGGCAGAAGGTAGAGATGCTGCACTGGTACCCCATCTAGTGACGGCTCGGACACGGAGGAAATACACTCTCCCTTCTCCTAAGCCAGTTATTGGTGTCTTTGTAAGTCTTACTGGTGTCTTATTCCACGGTTTCCAAATACTAGATCCTGCTTCAGCTCTGTATAGCAAAAATGATGAGATTTATAATTTATTCTAACTAAACAAAAGTAGCGCTTCGCCCTGTGTTTTTTTCTGCATTGTACATACAATTGCTATCATTTCAGGCAAGTTCTTATATGTTCATTATATGCCTGTACAATACTTACGTTTCTATTATGTATCCTTCAATTGGTGCTCCACCAAAATGTCCTACGTAACCAGGGCCTTTCCATGACAACATGACGTAATCACGGGTTGCTTCCGATATCTCGACACATGATGGCGCTGAAGGCGGGGCATCCGAACCCTGAACTCTAACGTAACATCGTGAAGTGGCTGCACCACTTGAATTGAAAGCGCGACAGCAATATTCTCCTGTATGAATGTATAATTTTTTAATTGAGAAATAGCATAATAAAGAGAATAATGTCAATGTTAAATTATACATTCTGTAAAAAGTAAAGTAAAAGAATGAATTTTTACTTGCAGGCTGTCAGTTAGCATGTTTTTATTGACTAATCTAGAAACTGTTTTTAAAATTATTTAGCTCAAAATTCAGACAATCAACAATGACTCAGATTGTTATTCTTTAAAAACAACATTTGTTAAACAACAAACACGAGAATATCGGTCGGAGACTGAAGACTTATCGATCGAAACTGCTGTTTCGATTTATGACTCTATATCACTAATTAAATAATAACTCGCTAATTATACGACATAATTCATCCATTAATAGGCTTCTGGTCAGAGATATGATAAATGCACATGCAAAATTTGGAGCAGATTCAACCTCGCCTTCGTGAGATATCGCGTTCATCTAACAGACAAACAGACAGACAAATACCTATCAACATATCTACCGATCTTAAGATCGATAAGTTATAACCACCCAAAACTTTATTCGCAATCGATAAAAAAAAATCGTAGCTTTAGTGGAATTGTTTAGATTGGCAAGACTTATGGATTTTACTTATTACTTCCCATATATCAGTTTGCCATCATCCGCACAATTTATTGGATAGAGATAAACTTTAGCCTTAGATCTTGAACTCGCCATGCAACACGAACAATTGGAGACAGCAAAATATCGACAACTTTTATACCTTCGTCGTCAGTGTGAACTTTTAATATCGTTAATGTTGCTTGTTTTCCATCAAATGAAGACTGAATATGTGACAAAGTTTCTTCAATAGTTCTTCCTTTAAATAAAACGAGTTGTTTCATTTATGTGCCCAATATATCACACCCATATATATTGCAATCATTTTGTTGAGCTCATGGAATGTAAGTGAAATTTTGAAATCCAACTGTATGCCTAAAAACCTGTGTGGAACATGGTACTTAATGGGTAGTTAGAACCGAATCTGAATAAAGATAGATACAGAAATGTGGCAAGTGGCTGAAACGAGAATATCGGTCAATAGGCTATATGGTGCCAAAACCATGGGTTAGGGTTAGTATGCGTTCAAATATCCGTGAAACAAAAATATTCCCATAGGTGCAATGGTATACAGGTGCAATTGTCATGGGTTCAAATGTACATGAGTCCAAATGTAAAGGAACCAGAATATACAGCCCTGAATTTTTGACTCTAAATGAATTGTTTGATTTAAAAACGGAATTTAGTGAGCCAAGAAGATAATTTTCTTTCTTGACTAAGATAAAAGTTGGGCGCTCCCGTAGTATGTGCACCAAGATGGCGGACACCGGAACATAGTATATGTGCCAGGTTGGGGTTAGGCCATAATTCTATTCCAATTTTCCTTATTTTAGTTCTATTACGATTTTGGGGACTAGCCAAGTGACTCCTGTAGTATTAGTACCTAAAATTTTGGCCTAACCCTAACCTGGTACACATACTACGTTCCGGTGTCCGCCATTTTGGTTCACATACTACGGGAGTAGCAAAAATTGTGACATAACTTTAAAATTTTGAAATTCTAGGATTTAACGTGTTTCGATATCAGCACTTACCATTCAGAGTCCAAAATACTTCTGGGTCGGGAGATCCGTCAACTTCACAAGTAATAATCATTGCTTCACGTTCTTGCACTGTCTTCCCGTACAATGGAACAACGAATCGGGGGTAACCTGAGATTTATTATACGCACGCATTATATTTGAAGTAAGCAGATGAGGAGTACATACCCGGAACATAGATTCCGGGCAGATAGAGGGACTCAAAGGGCTGTAATATATATATTTCGCAAGATGGCGCTGTGAATGTATAGGCCATAGGATATAAGGTGTCCATAAAGTTTTTGAAATTGCAAAAGGAATTTGTCGATACTACATATTGTTTTGGCCCTCACAAATGTAATAAATGAAGAAAAAATACTTAAACAAATACTTATTAAAAACACAAAACCTGGTTAAGATATATTGAGAACTGACTTCATACCAAAATAAAAATTGTAAAGAGACCTCATGGACACCCGTACTTCTTCTTTGACCAAGCGATTTTTTTTTTATCTTGAGTTACCACATAGTCTATTTACATAGTTATCTTTCCTGACTGACTTTCTACCTGACTGACTAAGTCCCTTCCGATAAAACACACAGGTTAATTTTTACCAAAGAAACAAAACAACATTCAATATAGAATCAAGCAAGGGAAATTAGAAACATCAGAAAAATATCCTGCCCAATGAATGTGTGCGACCGTTAGTGCCTCACCAGATGCATCGATCAGGACAATAAGCAATAAAACATTAAGATACACTAATACTAAGTAATATGTTTATACTCAAATACTTGTGGCCGGTGTGACAAGAAGCCTTTTCTTGAACTGTTTACCGACCTCATATGGGCTTAAAATCAATTGTTTACAGATAGTATTTTTGCCCTTTGAAAAAGACATTTTGTATTAAGTATTACTAAAACTGCATTTGAGCATAATGTTAACTCAGGACGGGATTTCAGTGTTTCAAAGGAGCTATTATAATTACACCGCGTGATCATTTATATTAATATTACTTCAGAATAAGGATTATTTCGGGTTAAGAGCATCTTTTGTGCAAGTTTCATCAAAATAGTTTTTACTTAAGGCAGGTGTACCGGTAAATATACTATAAAAGTGTTCATTATTTACTGTGTTTATGTAAGTATAATATATTTTTAAATGCAAAAGTTCAATAAAAAATTAAGAGCCGAAAACTAAGATTTGGATGCAAAAATATCATCATTTTCCTAGATTTCAAATTTTAAGTTTTTTTATTCAACATTTTTATTTAGGATTTTTACAGCATGTTGCTGGTATCAAAAAATAAAATTACTTCTTTATAAAAATATTTGCGATCAAATCTCACAAATGTCAAAATTTATTCCTTATTTCTGTCTGTGATAATATGTTTTCAATTACTGTTTTCAGAACCCTAATTGTTAATTTCCATATTTTTTCATTCCGATTTTTCAGCTGTTTCAGATTTTTGTTCTGCATCTTTTATTTTCTCCTTTGCCAGAGTTTTTTCAAATGTTTCCAGACTACCCCGCCTTTTCTCATTCGTCACATTAACTTCTATAGCGACTTTAAATGTTCCGCTTTTTTTTCTTCCGCTAGGGTCGTCCAAGCTAACCTCGCTACTATAACTTTTGATGACGTCATCGGTGGTGTCATCTTTTCTATCCCCGGAGGAAGATAGCGTGCCTGTCGCCTCGCTGACTTGTTTTGTAGCATCGAGTATAGCGTCATTGACTATATCTTTAGCTCCAACCGTGATGTCATCAGTGTACGTCATTGGCTTGTTTGCCAATTCTGATAGAGCTTTATCGCTATTTGTTATTTGTTTGTCTAGCTTCGCTTCTTTTATCAGTTGTTTGACGTCAAAATCCAAATTCTCGAGTTGTGATCTAAATTGACGATGAGCGTCTGTCTCGGGAAGCTCGTCGTATTCCTTAACTTCGATTGCTCCCGCGTGAGGACGCTTCTCTGTTAAAAAAAAATAATTCATATTTTATTTCTAGAAGTTTACAGCGTGCGGTTTGGTAATAAATATTGTTATGTCTCAATTTAAAACTATGATAAATTTATAGTGTTCAAGTGACAAGTTCAAGGTTGCAGATTTTTCAACCATTTCGAGTAAAAATTCCCTACGATATCAAATTTTACAGTTGGTATGAATCGAGATGCAACAACGACATTCTAATTTATTATATTTTTAATATTGATATCGGAATTCGGCTACTTTCTATCTATGCAAAAATATTCAGTTCTCTAGAAACCATATTTAATAAAGTTTAGAAAAAATATTTTAATTTCAAAAATGAATATGAATTACCTTCAACAAGCTGATGATGAATCAGATGGGGATGAAAGTGATGATTTTGATGATGATGGATGCCAAAATAATATGAAATGATGATGAGAACTCAATCCCGTAACCGCAACGCTGCTCCATGTTGTTCAAAAGCTAATTTTCTAACATTAAATCTCGAGTAATATTGTTGAAGTTTTTTACAATAACTACAGTCTTGAAGATTTCAAATCAAAATACAGCTAATTCTTTCTTTAGAATAAAAAAATGGAAAACTTTTCTGAAATATTTTTCCGAAAGGATATTGTTATCTATCTATCTGCGTTCCTTCTGCAATATTTAAAACTATATATTGTAATATTTTTCCTCAACGCAAAATCGGAGCTTTTATTAATAATCTATATTATATCTCATTCTCTATATCTCATGAGTTTCCGCATGCGTCGCATGCATTCTATCCAATAAGCTAAGATATAGATAACATTAACTTCGAATTATTCCAACGATAGTTAGTAATTTCATCTATCTGTCTGAAATCTACAAATTTAATGTTTTTAAACATTGCTGTTTTACGTGGTTTCCAAGCTTTTGACTGACAGAACTATTTGTCCCCAACTCTCTTTCTATATTTCCCCATTCTATAATATAAACTATCTTTCTTCTTTTTTCTATAAGACTGAAATCTGTGATTAACCATGATGACTGGCTAGTTCTTGTTTTCGCATAGCCAATGATAGCACAAAAATGGGTACTCCCTTAGCGTATGTATCAGGTTTAGAATTAGTCCATGATTTTATTCCGATTTACCTCATTTGAATTATATTACGAGTTCGGGGACTCTCTGTGTTAGCCAAGTGAATCCCTTCACACAATATGATGTAAAATAGGCGAACAAAATTAGTTACCTCCATATTGATATACACACTTCTGGAGTGACGAAAAATGACTGCATGAAATAATAGCAAATAAAAAAGTTCAAAGTGAACATACCAGGTATATTGAGCCCTTCTACGTCTGGATAATCTGTCGGTTTCTTCAAGTTGTATCCGGATTTAAAATCGACGACTCCTATTCTGCCTCCGTCGTATCGTCGTACTACCAATGTAGCATAACTTGAAATTTCTCCTTTTCGGTTTTGCATTGATACCCGGTAGGTACCAGAGTCTTCGATTGAAGCCCTGAAATATGAAAAATATGATTTAATGAGCTTTTTTTTTTTAATTTTGAAATTATAACTAATAAAAAATATGGACATGACTAGGCCTGGGAGTTTCGAATCGAACCGAATAGTAAGTTATTCGAATCGGTTCAGACGAGAATTTCGAATTGCCGCCATCTTTATTTTTATTTTTTGCCCGCCCTCGGGTCGAGGTGAATCTCTTCTTTTTTATTCACATCACAATTTTAAAATGCAATTGTGACATATGACTCTTTTCTTCCGAGTGTGTTATTGATGAAACATGTTTCTCACTGTGTGTGAACACGCAGCAAACTGTTTATATATGATAGATTACGTGTTTCCATTAATTTATGTATCTGAAGGACCTATTATAATAAAACAGTCAATACAAATTCATATTTTCCAAGTATTCGAGATTTGATTCGATAAAATATTCGATTCGATTCTAAAATCATCAAATATTCTAAAATGCCCAACCCATGATGAGAGTCTGTTCGTAACGTTCCTAAACTTGCGGTTTGCTTGAACATCAGCTTATGGTGGCACATATTCACACTATTGTTTAAAACAATATTTTCACCATTTAAAAAATGCAATTGTGACATATGACTCTTTTCTTCCGAGTGTGTTATTGATGAAACATGTTTCTCTCTGTGTGTGAACACGCGGCAAACTGTTTATATATGATAGATTACGTGTTTTCATTAATTTATGTATCTGAAGGACCTATTATAATAAAACAGTCAATACAAATTCGATTCGATTCTAAAATCATCAAATATTCTAAAATGCCCAACCCATGATGAGAGTCTGTTCGCAACGTTCCTAAACTTGCGGTTTGCTTGAACATCAGCTCATGGTGGCACATATTCACACTATTGTTTAAAACAATAATTCACCTCAAGAAATATCATATAAAGAAAATGGAAACTATTCCTTCCTATTTTTCATCCTTTAAACTTTAAAGGCGATCGGTGTCAAATACACAAAATATTACTGCCCTGAAGAGTTTCACATCTATTATTCTTGATATATACCTCGTTACTTCGCCCTTGCTGAAGTTCAAAAATTAAAATGCGAAAACGTTAGGCAAAAGATACCTGCAGATCTCTAGAGTGTGTAATCCAAACTGGTTTGATATTTTAAATTTTCCTGGACTACACAGCGATGGCTCGAGTGGCACCATGTCTTTGTACCATGTGACTCGGGGTGTGGGACTTCCACGCACTGTGCAGGTAAATTTGACGTTCATCTGAAAAGTTCAAAAAAAATTTTCAAATAAAAATTTTTCAATTTAATGAATATTGTTTGTATCTTGTATGGTTAATATAATGCGAAAATGAAGCATCATTGACTAATAAGTTGATATGTCTATTTGGGATAGGCTATAGACTTCTGATTATGACATACAAACTATATTATTATTCAGTATTATAAAAATTGATTGTAGAAATGTTAAAAAAATATTAATCGAGGTATATATCAATAAATATTGTTTTCTGAAGCTATATGAGATGTTTTATTTTGTTAATATTTGTTTATTTATTTGTTTATTCATTTTAACTTTGACTCGGAATCAATGAGTTTTGGGTACTCCCGAAGCATGTGAACCAAGATGGCGGACACCGAAACGTAGTATGTGTACCAGTTCATGGTTAGGCCATAATTTTAGGTACAAATACTACGGAAGTCACTGGGCAAGTCCCCGAACTCGTAAATATTTCAGGAGTATCGAGTTTTATGTCTTTAACTGAAGCCATTCTATTACTGGGCAATTCGTGCTTTAGTTATATATATTTTCATTTTTTCTCATATCAAATGATCATTGTTTTAAATTACCTTTTCCCACACTACATGTGATCTCAGTTTCATATCAAACATTGGAGCTTTGTCTAGTTTTCCTCGCTCCAGACTTTCTTCGACATCCCTGTCGGTGATAACAAGTGGACGTTCAATTCCTCGGTAGCGGTATCTGAAAATATTGTGATTTTGAGTCTTTTGGTGTATTTTCTAATGATTAGTACAAAATGCTATTTTCGAAGGGCTTTAATTTTTTATATTAATATTGAAATATTGAATCTTTATTGGGGTAATTCTCCCTCCTTCTTTGCACACATATAATCAGGTTTTAAGTTATTCAATTATAGACTCTCACTCTGGAATAGTCGTTACACAAGTTGTTTATTAGACCTTAGGTGAGGCGATATGTGTCTCGCACTAACTCGATCTCATTAACACATAAAGCCAATTTAATTTCTTCCAACCAGTCAACGACAATATATAGTATTTCGGTAATTGTCAAAATTTGCAAAACTCGTGAAAACAAATGGATACGAGAATATAGCTTTCTGCTAGACCAGAGGTGGGCAAGGTTTTTGGACTAGTGGCCAAAAAAATTTCCCACCTAGACTGGCGGGCCTAGTAAGTGTGACGCAAAAAGTTGCATTTTATGAACAATATTTACAGTATTACAAAATCAAAAGTGGAAAAAAATAAGCCTGGTGCCAAAAGTAAATTCGATTGCGATCGCAACAATTTCCTTGGGATACTTTCTAGATAAAACATCAAAATCCGGCATCAGGCGGGCCGGATCTAATTATCCAACGGGCCGTATTAGACCCGAGGGCCTTAGTTTGCCTACAGTGCTATCAGTGCTACACACTTCCTTGATATACAAAGGTTTCGTAATTGAAAAAAGCTCCAACTTTTGTCTGTTCATCAGCAACATGAAGTTGTTTTGTGAGATGAGTTGGGAGATAAAGTTAATGCGAATTTGTAGATTCGTTGTAATATTACTCACTGATAGTTAGGGTTCTTGTAGTATTGCATTTCATCATCGTCTTCGACGGCAAACTGTTTTCTTTTTGCAATGTATCCGGCCACTGATCGGATGTTTTCGTCTTCTTCAGCCATGCCAGGGTCTCCTCGCCTGTGAGTTAGGTAAAAAAATTATTCAAATGAACTGGTGATTGAATTCTATTTTGAATTCTATATTTTTGTTTGATGGATCCTCCATCGTCGCATGGATGGTGCTTGTTAATTTCTACGGCATCTCTTCCTGAACCAACCCATTCAAATGGCTCGCCATTTTCTCGCAACCAAATTTGATTATCACGGGAGAGAGGCTATTTTATACACTTTAAGCCGATTTACTCAACTTCACAACCTCCGAGTGAAATGTAAATATCTTAACATAATATGCCACCACACCAGCTCGATATAACCTAGTGATTTTTTAACAAACGCGTATCATTCGACGGACATAACATATAGAATTAATTACGTGTATTTTATTAATAATTCGAATCAGATGTGTGACTACCATCCATAATTTCCGGAAACTTATCTCCAATTTTATAATTTAAAAAAATCATAATGGAGTATTGTTATTTAGTTGGTTATGTAAACAATATACGAAGATAAATATTTCAGTTTCTTACTTTCTCATCGGAGGTACAGCGTATCCAAAGTCGGTATGAACTAGAGGCTCCTGTGATCGTTTTCTCCAGTTGAGTATGGACTGCAATTCCTCATCTTGTTTTTGTTGTCTTGAAGGCTGACGGCGCGGCTCATCTTCATATTGCTGATGGCGAACAGAGCGCTGTTGATGTTGACGAGATGTTTCTATATCTACGTCATCGTATGTTTCATTGTACTGAAATAGATTCATTTTCGTAAAACGGCGTCGATTAGAAAGAAAAACAAACTTTGAGGAAAAACAGCTATGCGTTCGTTATAGGTTTATATGTTATCTGTTTATCTCCGTGGACGACAATCTGTTTTTGCAAATCGCTTTCACTCATAACAACATGGCATCTGACAAACAGTCAACGAAGATTGAAGAGGTACTGTTTAGGTAAAAACTGAGTGCTTATGAACATCGTTGACAACCCAAGTCATTTTGCTTTGGGTGAAGTCGTGGAAGTGAGAGTTTAGACCAATATCTTTATCCTTCAACTCCTTCAATTCGGAAATAGTTTGAATTATGTTACCCAAACTTGTTGGGGCCAATCCATTTGGTTGGGTATGCCGGAAGCGAAAACTTTTCATCTTACTAATCGCAAGTTTTGTTTATGTTTAAGTATCTGTTTGTAAGCCAATCTGTTCAATACAATAGGAAAATTTATTTATAGAAATTTTTTTTAGGAATTTTGATATTATTTGATTTCCATTGCATATTTACATTATTTTGCTTTAAATAAGATTGCAACTCTAAAGTTCAACATAGCCAGTCAAAGGAAGATTATATTCCCAAATGCCGATAGCATACGTCAATTAGATTTTAGCATGACCAATGCTCTTGTTGTTCGTTAGCCTTTGCTAAATGCTTGAGTTACTATAAATCGTTATTTTTGATCAAATAATTCCCCTGGGGTGAAATTAAAGACATAACTATGTGCGGATAATTTAGTTCAGTTGCTATTATTAGAAATGAAATAACATTTCCGAGTAATTATGGTATTTCTATACGGGAACAATATGTCATAGCAGAGACGTTCGTGGGCCCGATTCAGAAGCAGTATCAAAAAACAACTTTGTTGATTGAAAAACTGGACGAGTTTTGCATTATAACATTCAAGTAAACGGACATGGAGGTTTGCGTGATTGAAACGCGAAAATATTGTAATACAACAACAGCCATATTATGGTTACCGTGTGTGATATTTAAATGTAAAAGCTAAAGTTTCAAAAAAGAGCCCTATATCAAAATTGTCGCCGTATGGCAAAACAAGATGTATATGCGACGTGAAAAAATGCTTAAATAAGGGCAGAGCTAAGCTTCTCATAAAAAAAAACTCGCGTAAGTTCTAATGAATAGCACTTGATAATTATACCAGCAACTGAGAATGAGTATCCTAAGTATCATCGAACCACAATTATCCGTTGTATTGAGCGCTATTCCGTATATTCAGCAACTATGCATTAGAAAATTGAAAAAATTGACTAAAACTCAGAGCTTGAGCGTAAGTGACTAAAATATTTATTTCAATATTCAAAATAGGGGATTAAATTGTACAAGCTTAACAAAGACAATCTTTAATATTCCATTCGAAGTATGTTTGTCATCTTCTATATATAAATATACATATATACATATGTCTGTCCACTTGAAAGAAGCTAACTTTGATGTTAAATATAATACAATTCCACTCACATCATCCATCTGCGGTCTTTGTTGTCGTCTGGGTCCTCTGGGTGAAGGCGAACCGTATCTGATATCATTTGATCTGAGACCAGATCTTCCAATACGAGGTTGATATGTCGGTACTAACGGTTCCAATGGCTCATCAAAGTCATAATCGTCGTATGTTTTGAGGTCAAGTCTGCGACGGCTGTAAATTGAATTATGCAAATAGTGGTAAATGACTGGATAAAGGTATGATGACTGATGATAGTTTTTGGATATACAGTAAAATTCAGAGATGCAATAAGCGTAGACAAATTACGTTCGAATAGACTTTCAAAATTTATTTGCTTGTATGGAAATGAATGTATTCATTTTAAGGAGACGTTTTCGTACAATACATTAAAAATCAATTCTCAAATTTCAATAAATTTTTCCATTAAATGCTGAACGTTATGGCATTTTTGAAAACAAAAATACAGTAGCTTTTGAGTCGGAGAAGTAAAATATTTATTCAGTTTTAACTTATTAAATTGAATTTTCGTTTACACCATTTGTTTCAAACACTATGGAAATATACGTAAGGATAACTTCACCAACACTCGCTCTCAAGAATAAGTAAACTAATTTGTTAACTTAATACATAAAGACCTATATCGAAGAAACTAAATTAAAAAAAAAAAAATTATACAATACTTTTCTACGGATTGTCTACGTCTCTCCTGCATATGCTTAATTTCTTCTTCAATTTCGTCGTCGTCGGCATTGTTGAATTTAAATTGTTGTTGTTGTGGAGCTTGACTGCTCTATAATTAAAATAAAACATCGGGTTTAAATACTTCGTAAGAATTGCAAAAACAAACAAGAGTGAGAACGTATGAATCTAATTTGAGCATAAGCATATTATTTGAAAAGTAAATCTCTTCTTGGCTGTTAATATTAAACTCAGAGAATATTTTCATGAGAATAAAATATTGATATTTTTATTATATTAATTCAGCGCAAAGTTTCTGTATTGAATAAGGACTCGACAGAAATTTAAGGCTAGGATGCATATCATGTGATTGCATTACATTACTCAATATGGCGTTGGTTGCATATAGCCTAAAATTAACAACTTCACAAAGATAGACATAAAATTACATCCTAGTCCTAGAATTAACAAAAAGGTAAAATAGTATTGCATAGTTTCGTAGTTTTCATATAGACAAACTGAAACGACTCAGTGGGGAATAGGCTATATATTTGAATTTATTCAAAGCCATTGTGCAGCGAATTGCTTGGACTCACGTAGATTGAACAAAAATAAAGGATCAACTTACTACTCCCGCTTCAAATCATTGAATTAGTAATATTTGACAAAACTATAATGTAAACGGACCTCCTGAAGGATGCGCACCAAGATGGCGCACAACCTGAACTCAGGTTGTGTACCATGTTAGGATTCATGGTTAAGCGACATCTTGGTGCGCATACCATGTAAACTTACTCTATGTGAGGGGGATACGCTTCTTCTCCCAACAAGTGGAACTTGCAAAGGAGAGCTTACTAGCGACATCGTTCGACCTTCTTCTGCATCTTCTCCGCCGAATCTGAGAGAAAATGAACTTTCATGAAAATTCAATATCTCCATGCCAATAATTTAACGAAACAAAGTTACTATGGCAACGTAAATAAATTATAGACAAAAAAAGCAATGCAAGATATATTTACAAATTGGTGTAAGATTGTCCGTATCTTTACAATGTTATTTGAGTCCAACTACCAGCTCACCAAAATTGATAGCCTATCTATATGTTATCAGTCGAAAACCGTGTGACGCAATTTCTGTATTTAACAAATGCTGGAATGTAGCACACGAAGCATCAAGAAGATTACTTCGAAATCATAATTTACCATTAACTATAAGAACACAAACATCCTCCAAAACAAGAATTTTATGAAACGATTCATGGCCATAGTGCCCAATGATAGGCAGAATCAAAAATCACTAAAGACAATGAATACAAGATCACATTAAGATAGCGGTGCTCCTCAAGTACGCGCACCAAGATGTCGCATAACCTGAACCCTAACCTGGTACACAACCTGAGTTCAGGTTGTGCGTCATCTTGTTGCGCATACTTCAGGTCCGAGATAGCTACATTAAACAATAGTATCAATGAGTATTATTTTTTAGCTGGTCAGCATTGGGCTCTAATTACATTCATTGTAAAATAATAATAAATAAGTATGATATACGAGTATATTAGATGTTAGTTTCGCAATTAGACAAGGTAGCGAATAAAAAGTCAAATATAAAAAAGTTAATATTATGGCACATGCAGCCCAGTTTGTTTACGAGATAGGAGTTGCATAAATCTGGGAACTGACACCGATGTCCGATCAATTCCGATCAAAATAATAAGTTCTGATAAGAAAGGTTAAAAAACACTGACGTTTCGAAAGTAATTACAGTTTAATTTCATTTTTAATTCTAAATACGTATTCATATTGTTCTTGATATCCTTGTCAGTTTTTTTGAACTTTTCATTATATACTAACACAAAACATACAATAAATAACTTTGAAATAAAATCTCACCTTCGAACATTGGAAAGTGACGTTATGGAGAGTCATGACGGTTCAATTTTACTTTTCAATTCTTAATATTCATTTATATTGTATTTGGTATATTAGTGAGAGTGTGCATATTTTATTATATACTGATATACAGCATAAAATAAATATTTTTTAACGAAAAACCTCACCTTCGTGACCGTGCAAAATCACGTGATCCATGGTCTCGTGTGTAGAAAGAATATTCATCTCTGTCGTGGTGTTCACCTCCTTGGGAATATCGAACAGGCATCTCGAACTCGAACTTTCAATTCCTAGCTATGATAATAAGAACCCCTGTAGTCTGAGATATAAAGAATGATGTTGAGAATAATAAAAGAGTGAAGATAAATATGAAGTTTGAGTGTGAAGGATATATGCTATTGTAGGGATCACATATTGGTCAGTTGGTAATCCCGTAGCATGTGAACCAAGATGGCGGACACCGGAACGTAGTATGTGTACCAGGTTTGGGTTAGGCCATAATTTTAGATACAAATACTACATGAGTCACTTGGCTAGTTCCTGAACTCGTAATAAAACTAAAATAAGGAAAATTTGAATGAAATTACGGCCTAACCCTAACCTGGTACACATACTGTATTCAGGTGTCCGCCATATTGGTTCACGTACCACGGGAGCGCCGGTCAGTTAATCCCAACATATAAATAAATAGTCATGAAGGCATAAAATATGATAGTTTTGTATTCGTTCTATAAATGATATTCAGACGACAATCGTTTTACATTTAAAATTAAAACATTTCTCAGATCTTTGCAATAAAGTCATTTAATTCGGTACAATTTTTCATAAAATCACTATTTATTATTACACCAATGTAAACACTCAATCTATGGTAGTAATTTACAAAATTCCTAGTCTTCGACAAAAAGCTAAACATATCCAACCGCGTTGACAAAGGTACGGCGACCTCTGTTTTATCGACACGATTGAAGGAAACTGTTTAACAATGCAATTTCCGGCCCCTAGTAGACACCATTACCCCACGCACTAATTATTGAACTTATCCTTACGCGTTTCAGTTTTCCGACATTTCGGTGAAGCTCACTGACTCAAATGAATCAGAAGTAAAGAAATAGTTAGAAGACTTCAAACCCGCGACGTCAACTAGTCGTCACCTCTGTCGACAACGGGAGAAAGGTGCGAACATCTGGTCGATCTATCCCCGCAAGTGAGAATACGAATGCCGCCATGATGTCTCTCACGACTGAGAGTTACGTTGAGCACAGACCCGCATAAAATGATGCTGCGATGAAAAAGTACATTACTGGCTAGAAAAATAGTATCCAAAATTATGACCCCTACATAAAAATTAAAGCTATGTAAAGCAATAATTGAATTTAAAGTATTATCCGCAAATGAACATTGTATTTGCTTTATTATCATTTGTACAGCAACTAAACTAACCTATCATAAGTGTACCACCCACCAGTTAATAAGCGAGAGGGCCCATGAAGTATGGTCTTTTATTAATTGCTATTTCACTATGCTTTATTGAATTGCTCAAATATATTTATAAACTGTGGTGGAATTTCTATATAACCGGACCATCGGTCCCTTGCTACATAAACATTGATGTTTCAATAATGCTGATACTGTCAATATACAAGTGAGAAATGATCGCGACAATATCATCGTGTTATGGGTGTAAAAAAATCATCTTCAAAAAATTACTACTAACTAGTAAGTAGTCCGTAGTTTATGTTTTTCATAATACTGAAAGCAGACTAGATATACAAATTACAATAAATTATGAAAAAGCAATTCATGGTGAGAGGAGCCGCGGGAAACGAATAGTGGTCGAGTAGCTGCACCCATAACCTGAATTAATTAGTTAAAATTATTGCCACGAAAGATCGGAACAAAAATGCCACTTCCTATTTCAAAGAATATTTGCAACCTGCTGTAGTTATAAACAACCTGAGCGTCTTCATACAAATGCATATACACACTCTGTATCGGAATTTTGGATTTCACAAGGCGCCAGCATTTGCGCGCATTACCTATAAGATTATTTACGGCATCGCAGCTGTTCAGTGTATCTGGCGATAGTGCTGCATAGCTATGCGACGTGAGATAGCGCTTAACCCCTTGACAACTTCAAGCTGTCCTAGAAGACCCCTCAAAAAAGCTGAATTTTTTTCAAATGAGGGAAATTACCGATATCTAGTGTTGCAAATCAAATATTTTTGCAATTCACGCCAAGTTTTTACATCTCCCTTCGCACTATGGAACTGAAAGTTACGTTTGTGTTAGGTTTTAAAAAAAATTTATATCAAAGAGTACAAACTGACTAATTGACGGTTGTTTGTGGGTTACTCTTCTTCTACCCTTTGATTTTATCGTGTGTTAAACTGACGATTTATCAGGTTTGCGGTGAATTTAACAGCGTGATCTATGATGAGCCCATGCTTGTCGAAGTGTGAAATTTATAAAATCTCAGTGATGGTTCAATTTGCATTGCAAGTTATTTGGAATGTTTTTTTAATATCGCCGTCGTCGCGTTTAATTGCGATAATTGAGATGTTAAAAGTCGGCTATTGCGAATATATAGCGAAATGTGGAATTCAGGGTACCTGCTTTGAAACAGGGGTTCTAAAACGTTTGGTGTTATGGTGCCCGTGAAGTAACCTCTATTATTTACGAAGTCTCACAATGAATCCGCCCCACAAATTTGACACCTGACAAACATATTAGTGAAGAAGTGTCGAAATATGGCAACAAGACGGTAAATAAATACAGCATTATCTATTAGAACTCATATATAATGCCATACTTGAATGAACATTACCGTTGTCAAATTTTATTAATGGTAATATTTCTTATTGGGACAAATCAATACTTTGTCATGACCTAGACTGTTTTTAGAAGTAGTACAATATGGAATAAATAAATAAAATATTCGAATTCGATTTGGGAATTCGAAGTGGTACCTAACTTCAATGACAACTTCTTGACAGAAACATAAAAATTTTAATTTCCATTCACAATTTATTCATTTTTTATAATTCTGGGGCTTAGAAGATTGTTTTTTTCTTTGGTAACAGCAATGATAAAAATAAATTTGTATTTGAGCATTAAACCGGTAAAATATTGAATACCGTTCCTACTTCATTCATTGTGCATTATTTCATTGCAGAAATAATATAACATGAGAGTCATGTGATATGGCTCATGCGAGTTAAAGTTAGTGAAGACCTCACGAGTCTAAAAAAATCAATGGACTCTCATTCAAAACAAATTGTGACGACAAAACTAAGTACGACCTATGTCTAATGATAAACAAAGCGAGAATAAAATACGGATCATGACGAAATGAGGTATTCAAATTTAGCTGATGTCTCCAAGGGAATCAAGCTACAAGTGAAAAAAGCGTGGTCGTACATTCGTTTAGTTTTGAATTAAAATAAATTTGAAGATTACGGTCAAAGTCCAACCATATGTATATTCATATTACAATAATTTATTACTAAATGTAATAAAATTGCGTACCGACAAAAATGGGCTATAAATTAGTTGGCGTTCTAACTAATAGAATTATTTAACGATTTTTACGCAAATAGTTTTCAGACTTCATATATGTGAAATTCATTCATAGCTGTTGTATTCCAGTAGTGGTGGGTCCGTAACTCTCAGGGATCACATTCTTTGCTTCTAAGTGAGTTCGCGTGACTTTGAGTCGAGCATTTTTTTTATAAATATGTATATATAACGTGAACAGAATAACGCGAATAAAATATGACGAAATAACTTAGTAAAAATTAGCCGAGCAATGTCTCACGGGAATTCAAATTGAACTGCTGAAAGACAAGAGGTCATAAAATGCAATTACTTGTGAATTTAGAATTATTACTAATCACTCCAAGAAAGTTTCATATAGAAATATGACGTTAGAATTAGAAATGATTGAACGTAATAATGTTAATATTCTTAGTACTAGTATCAGTGGCGTATCTGAGGTATGGCCGACTGACTGGTCTTGTGCTGTGGGTGCCGTTTGGATAGGAACGCAAAGAGAGCGAAAGTTTTATTAGCGATGTGTTCGTGAAAAATAATTTCAAATTGGAAATAATTGAAACTATTATGTTCGCTTAAATAATAACCTACCAGGATGTCATTTCAGCAACAACCGATAATACAAATTGTAAGTGAACTATCAAGGCGCATTTCTAAACTATGCCATGTGCGCTATTTCACGTAGATACGCCACTGACTCGTATAGTAGTAATCGTTAACTAAGACTCCGACGTAATGAGTTGGCACTATTCACAGAATATTTTGCATATTTGTACAACGATTGACGCACTGTGCTAGGCGTTTGGATCAAGCTTGCTATAGCATCGATTTTTACCCTGCTTGGGTTTGTAAGTTTGACTCCTCTGGGAGATAACTGTATGCGAAAGGGTTTCGTCGTCACAGAGTGATATGAATCTCATGTCTGGTTCTAATCAATCACGGCTTTACCCATCAGTAGAGTCCAATAATAAATAAATAAGAAAAGTTAATTGTGAAAAATTTTCATGCAAACTCGCAGGTCGTAATACATAACTTCGATTAAAATCATAACAAACTATTTAATTAAATCATATTATCAAAGTACGCCATTTTTCAATAATCCTTTTTGTATATACAACTGCAGTACGTTTCATTGCATGTCAACCGAAATGTGTTCAGCCGACCACATAAGAAGCTATTTCGCGGCATAATGACCAGCGCGTATTCCGAAGCAATAAAATGTCCAGATAAAAAAATTTCGTTCCTCACTAAACCGCTTGTAAGTCATTGTTCCTGGATATGAAGCAGATAATCCGGTAATATCTGTAATTTTAATTGGCGCTAAGGAAGTATTCATACCAAGATGACGCACAACCCTAACCTGGCACACTATGTTCAGGTTGTGCGCCATCTTAATACGAATACTTTGGGAGCACCTTTAATTAATATAGCAAAATGATAATAACAAAGGCCGAGTATTACCCGAATAAATACAATTTAATAAATTAGCTGTAACTTTAATAAATATAGTAGAAAAATAATAACAAAGACCGAATAGTACCCGAATAAATACAATTTAAATAATTAGCTGTAACTTTAATTAATATAGTAGAATAATAATAACAAAGACAGAAGAGTACGAGTTTTGTTTGACAATACTTAAATTCACTCGAACGCCTGTTATCAAGAGTCATAGAAACTTTCATTTGAGATCATAAATCAAAAAGATATTTCAAATTACAAAAAAATTATCTATCTACTTTTACCAACATCCTTTTACTTTGTTTGAGAAT